TTTTCATTTCATTTATTAATAAAATCATTAGCACAATAAGATCAAAAGATTCATAACAGCACATACATATAATTAAAACAGCAAAAATTACTTAAGACTAAATAAAAGTAACATAATATAATTAACAGAGTAGCATTTTTAAGTGAGTTCTACAATTCCAGGACATATACTTAAAATAAGACTTAATTAAACAAGTACATAGAGAGCACATCACAGGGACTGAAGCTAACGGAAATATGCATACATATTTAATATGGATTTTTTTCGTATCACTAGCCTGGTTATGGAGAACACATTGACAGGGAGGCCTAGTAAAACTGTCTATGAAGGTATAAACAGGTCTTACGTGGAAATATTTAATGTTGAAAATATTTATATTGTAAACCCTTGTTCACGGTTAATAGTATATGTACAGCAAAAAGCAAGGCACTATCCGAACTTTAATTCTTGAAAAAAAAGCTGAAATAGTTGCTTAAAAAATTGTTCCCCAAAAAGCTGCAACAGCAAAAAAAAAAAAACCCAAAAAGTTTTTGAGGAATCTGCCGGAGTGGCATCTATATAAATCTGTGTCGTTTCGACTAGTTTGGGAATGTTGACTCAGCAGTACTTAATTTGGAGCTTGTTGAGCCACCCTATATGTATATATGTAAGTATTCCTGTGTGCGTACTGCCCAAGAACGTTTAAAGAATTTTATTAGAACTGTTTTACATTAGAATAATTGGCCTATTTGACAATATATAAATTCATCATACTAGCTTGATAATGCTCATATTCATATACTACATACATACATACATGCATACATACATACATACATTTATTATAAGTGTTATCTTCCCGCTAATTCTTGATTGTTAAGTATCTACAATTCGAGAATATTTTTCGATAAGAAACATTTTAAAGAGGTTAGAACAGGGCCTGGCTTCAAAGCTTTGTATATGGATAAGTTTTATTCTACATTATTCAGATGTACTAATCAATAGATATATTTATATTTTATAGATATGTGACACAACTAAATGCATCACGCTAAATGCCTTGGACATAAAAATTAATTCAGTTGAATTGGATGTTAATGGCGAGAAATTGCAGCCAAGCAATATTTCATATTCCACCGATAATGAGACTGTCACGTTAACTTTTGATCAGGAACTACCAGCAGGGGCCTCTGGCATTTTAAAAATGTCCTTTGCCGGAGAGCTTAATGATAAGATGAAAGGCTTCTATCGTAGCAAGTATTTTACACCTGGTGGCGAAGAGCGCTATGCTGGCGTAACTCAATTCGAAGCTACTGATGCTAGACGTTGCTTCCCCTGTTGGGATGAGCCCGCAATCAAGGCAACATTTGACATAGCACTAATTGTGCCACTGGATCGAATTGCTCTTTCCAATATGCCAGAAGTCAAGGAGGAAAATTTAGGACATAATTTGCGCCGCATAAGTTTCGATAGGACACCAATTATGTCTACTTATTTGGTGGCGGTTGTGGTTGGCGAATACGATTATGTCGAAGGCAAGTCGGAAGATGGCATAATAGTACGAGTTTTCACGCCTGTTGGCAAGAAGGAGCAGGGCATTTTTGCGCTCGAAGTAGCCACAAAAGTATTGCCGTATTATAAAAGTTATTTCAACATTGCATATCCATTGCCAAAGATGGATTTGATAGCGATTTCCGATTTTTCGGCCGGTGCGATGGAGAATTGGGGCCTTGTAACATATCGTGAGACATTTGTATTAGTGGATCCGAAAAATACCTCACTTATGCGCAAGCAATCGATTGCTTTAACTGTGGGCCACGAGATCGCACATCAATGGTTTGGTAAGATGCATTTTATGTCTACAATGCGGCTATTTGTTAAATAAACGACTGCTTTTTGTCATTTTTTTTTTATTGTTTGAGCCACGTTGCAAAATGGTGCTGCTTCACAGGTGAAAACAAAATAACAAAGCAATTACTTTGCTTTATGATACTTCTATTTTCTTGTGTTTGCAAGTATCTTCCATTACATTGTAAAAAGAATACTGAATTTGAAAGTCGCAAATAGAATGCACAAATTGTTAAACCTGTTACAATATCATACTAAAAATCTCCAAAAGTTCTTTATATACAAATTTAGTTGGAAACTATCCTCACATATTTCATAATCTTTTAGGTAATCTGGTTACCATGGAATGGTGGACACATTTATGG